TTATAGGGTGCTTAATTGTCCGCTTCCTTAATTTCTGAATGTTTGGTAATGATGGTTAATTGTGTCGCGTTTTTCCTATTTGTTGAGTTTTCGTTTCTGCCGAAATGCTATCAGTTTTGTTTTCTTACGTCCGCCTTACGCGCCGTAATAAACATATACATAACATATACATATACATATATGTAGAAGTTCCTATGATAATTTTTAAGACCTCGGAAGAAAACTGAAACAGTTCTCGGATCCGAGTGGTCTGTACCTTAGTGATAAACCACCTATATCAGAGCTTTTGCTATCCGTCTTTAACATGTCCCGAACCACTGCACTGCAAAGAAGGGAAACTACACGCTCAATCGGTAACCCCTCTGTGCAATGAGAGAACATTCATCCGAGTGAAACGCCCATCAAACCAATCAGAATGTAAGGGAGGGGATGAAATAAAGAGCGCTTTTCCCTATTTGGTACTTCATTTAAAGGTAATGTAAATGTGCGCTAAATAACAGAACAGAAACGAACAGAAAAGCCTAGGAAAGTTTCACCACCCCTGCAACAAAAATATGCCACTTACAAATTGGATTTTATGAATTTGGAAAACTACCACCTATCACACAGCTAAAAAGCGCCGGCTGGAAAGAAAAATTTTATCAAATCTTCACACTGACTACCAAATTAGTAGGTATGGTATGTTTGGAATACAGTTTTGAACGACCCACTTATACAAACCCCTTTCAACGCGACGGCAGGCTGACTTTTGAATTTCGCCAAACACCGTAAGACCTGATGATCTGAAATCGGCTATCAAAGAGACACTTACATTGACAATGTGGCTCAGTGAAGCGAACTCTGAATTTTCGACCAGATGAGTGGATGAGTGGCATGAGGTGACTGCCACAGAAATACTGAAATTCTTTTAAATTATAAAATCCACGAACATATTCCTGACGTATTCAAAGACCATCCGCACATGGGATTACCGCCTCACCACGGACTAGCGTCTATGCCTTGGAAAGGGTTAAATTGTTTATTGTCGAATCCGTGATTGACGCTCGTATAATAAAAATGCATTTCAATTCACCGCTGTTAATAAAAGAAGCGAAAGGTAAGGAAGGAGAAGGGGACTTTGCGGAAAATCTGGTAGACAGAGCACAGCCAAATATTTTCAGAGAATTACGAGAAATTAGTCACCAACGGCGGAACGGACTAAGAAAATGGTCCCTTTAACAAACAGCAATGAAAAGTCAAGAAAGAAGGTCTCGGACGTAGACATTGCATATCAATAAATAGACTTTCGAATGTACAGCTCGTAATAATTGACAAGGCGAATGAACAAAACCGAGATAACCCGTAATTCGACGGAAGTGAAAGCAAATATGAGGGGTAGATATCAGCTACCGACTAGAAATGAGGTAAAGACTAGAGTTATTACAAAGGAAGCTTATCAGAAAAAATATATGTATTTTTCTTGCAATAGCCTGCAATGAACGCAGCTATGCTGCATCTGCTCAGGCAGATTTAGCGCACCCAGATACATATGCTTTAAATCAGCTTTTCTTGGAAAATTAGCAATTAACGAAAAGAAAAAGTATGAAGTTAGGCTCGGTGAACCTAGTAAAAATAATACTGTTAAGCCCAGTAGAGGTGAAACTTCGAAAGCACTATGCAGCAAAGAGAATAGATGAGGTCAACAGCTCGATCTCCTATCGTTGTCTTCATTTCAGCTATCCACGGAAAGCCGTAGGAAGGTCTCTTCAAGCGAAGACTGCGTCACACAAAAATCAACAACTCCCAGCGAAGCGGCCAAGGTTTGGACTTTGCGGAACAGCGAAGACCATCTATCCGATTCGGACTTGGGAATCTGAGAAAAAAGTACATTTCGATATTGTTTTATTTACTCTTATGAGCCGGGCAGAACAGCCGGCAAATGAATTGGAATTATCTCAGAGACCCGTCACCCCCTCTTATTAAGAAAAGTCACAACACAACTTCATAAAACTCATGTTTTATTTGCTCATTTGTCATATTTCATTAGCAGTCGGATCAAAGGGCTAACGCCAGGTGCTCCTACTTCTCGTGCAGAAATGGCCTGTCGCCTACGTATTCTCCAAATCCCGACGGGTGCGGTAGAACAGGAGGTAAAAAATTTTTGGCTACTAAATTCAGTGAGCTTACGCTCATTTTACGCATGCTCCGCTCCTGGAGGCGGAGTCTGGTAATGCCACTTACCGTAAAAGTTCCCATCCTGTCGCTTGTACTCCTACCAAACTTGAAGGCTCTAGGTCCACTGGGACAGGTGTCCTGAGTTTCCGCTCAAACATTTAGTCTGCGCAAACCCCGCCCTTGTAGGCGGAGTCCGGTTCTCACATCTACCATATGTGTTCCGATCCTGCTTTGTACTCATACCAATTAGGAGTTCTGTAGGTCTAGTGGGACAGGAGTTATGAATTTCCGGTCAGATATACCACACGCACGTGCACGCGCACACACACATACATATTGGTTATACAGGTAAGGTTAATTCATTAAATTTAGCAACTTATGATCTATTCAAACAGAAGGTTGCTATGCAGAAATTAGACATCAAGACTTTGCAGAATATTTTTCCTTTGAACTTCATTTGAAGATCAGAAACAGGTTTTCTCTTTGATGACGGCCTGTTTATAGGAACTGGTGCTGTGATATCCATGATAAATGCATCAGTAATGAGTTCCCTGAAGACACCTTGCTCCTGATGCAGCTCCTTCTCCCATTCGTACACTCTTTTAAGAATAGCGTGCAGGTATCCGAAACAGGCTAAATTTTGTACAACCTGTTACTTCTGTCTGCGCTGCCATTATCAGCAAAATGGAGTCGTCGATGTTGTTCAAATCAATTTCCCATCATAATGTCGCCTATTAAAGCTGGCTATTAAAGCTAAATTTCTTTCTTTCCAATTTAGCTAGAATGCTCACTTCTAGCCAAATTTCTAGGCTTTATTGACCAGTAGTTCTACTGGTCGTCCAAGAGGCTATGCGACATTGCTAGCCGAGGCCAAAAAGTCTCTTAATATCTGTTTCCTTCCATAAACGATCCTTTTGGCATATATTCATTCGTGAAGCAACCTTTAACAGGAAATGAATTTGACAGACTTCTCTTGATCTAGTCCTGTCGGCTCGATGAAAACCCATCTATCAATAGGATCTGCGCCATCACTCTAAGTGTTGAGCTGGCGAGGACAAGCGGGATTTCGCTAGTGTAAGGGGTAAAGCACGGTGCNCGGAAAGCACAAGTACGGGTTCGAGGCCCGTCCGAGACTGAAGTCTTGTCCATAAATCGCCAACCTTGTGAGATTTTCGCATCGCGAACTGCGCCGAAAAAAATAGCTGTTAACAAAGCATCAAGTCGTAACTCTGAGTATTATGTTCTGCCTCGCTATCGGTAATACCACTGCCGGTACATCTGAATCAAGATCTTCTTGATCACCTGCAACTGTAGAAACAAAACTGTTTCCTGTCTCAGGTTCATAGATGTCTCTAGCGTCACTGTCGAGCAATAAATCGTCAAAACAACTGCCCAGGATAGGGATCCCGTGTTGGCGATAAGAATTACGACTTCGAAAGTACGTGAGCTTATCAATATCTCCAACAAACGAACTCGACTCTTCGATGAGCGCTCACTTCTATTCTTGTGCGCGCCTAGCGTTTACTTGCGGAAATTTCGCATACAATACTCCACGATTCTTGGAAATGTGCTTAAACCTTGCCAGAATACAATTTTTTTTTCTTTTGCTCCTGTCTAGAACTTTTCTCTAGCTCTGCACACATAATAGCCTATTCATTACAGCAAATCAAACATGAAGTACGTCCCGTGGAACGATGTCGGTCTATGGTGATTAACGTTTAACCAGCGTATCCAAAGTGCCTCCTCCCATGGGCACGCAAACGAACATAGCACTCGTCGCCAACGTGGAAGACAAAAAGAAATTCGAAGGATCAAATGATTAAAAGCCTGAAGCTGTTTGTACCTGCCACTTCAAACTGAGAGTGAGGCTTCCTTTGGGTGTTTTCAGGACAGCTCCAGGGAATGCTTCTTTTACCGCGTCAATGACAGCATCACGAGATTCCACTCTTGGTGCGACCATCGTTATTGTATAGCTATTCCCAAATCTAAAGAGCGCATCTATGCATTGTTCAACCCTCTATACTGTTACATAATTTAATACTACGGACACCAGGCGGACGTGGTGTAGTGGCAATGGTATACTATCACACACGCATAGTTACAAGATCGAATCCCGGATCGATATCTGCTCAGGTCAACCAAGTCTCCCATTCCTCCGGCTAATTTGTACCAAATCCGCCTAGTAGGTGTGGGAGTGCATGCCTGACGGGGTCATATCGCGCCCAAACCTTTAACCTTCATCCTTTTCAAACCGTGGACACCATGCATAAGTTCCAGCACTGAAAAGTGGCGGATTTCCTGAGAAGCAAGCATACTCACCTCGATTTTAGCTGTTGACTCGTCCCAATCGCAACCAGCCTGCCCCTGTGCAGAATCGCAATTCGACTACACAACGCTTCACATTCGTCCATGCTATGAGATGTTAGCAGGAGAGCTGTTTCAGAGTTATCACGTATAATCGATAAGGCCGTCCAAATTTCACGACGAGCCTGAAGACAAGTAGATCGTCTTAAACCTGCTGAGGACTTCGAATCTTCAAAAACCAAAGAGAAAGCCCATGTAAGAGCTTGCAATTACGCACTTTGGGATCAATTCCAGCAGTAGGTTCATCCAAAATGATAATTCGGGTTGGAGCGAGGATCGCCAGACCAACGCTTATTTTCCGACGTTGCCCTCCACTAAAATTCTCGAAACCATCGTACTAAAAGTAATTCGCTGAGAATCTCAGTAGAAGTGTTTATAGTTTTCAGCGGACATCTGTGCATCTGTGACTGGGAACGGTAAATGCGACATAATGGCTAATGACGGCGATATATGAAGAAGGTAAAGCTGATAATGATATAAGGATGCGGAGAGCCAATGAGATACGACAGATCTCTTACGACACCCCTGACACATGAAGTGGAATAATAAAATTATCAACAATGTTCTGATTAGCAGTCACCAATGGCGTTAGCAAACTCCGTTATCTGAAAGTCTGTAAAAAATGGAGCGTTCTCTCAGTGCCTTCCAGCAGAAAGTAATGAGGGAATAGAATTTTGAAATATGATTACCTGCAGTATCGCACCAGCTTATCCGCGTGATCCGTCATACCGACAACACGAAGAACAACATCCGTTATATCAGCTGGATGCGGGAAACCATGCATACGCGCAAGGATCTGCAAATCGCCTTTGGTTACTCTTATATAGTCGATGAATCAGTTGTCAGGAACGTGCGGAAGTGCTGAGACACAAAATTGCAGGACATTTAGGAACGACCTCAGAATTGCCAACAGTAGTATTCAAATATGTTCTCTTGCAAACTGTGATCATGGAGGGATCACCTCCGAGCAGATATACCCTGCAAGCAGCGCCACGGCTTCAGTGCTCGTTCCGCTGACTCCAACATCAACAATGCATTTGGGGAGATTCTCGCCAGCCATGTGATTGTTAGTTCTTGATTAGCTCGCTTCCATTCTGGAGATAAGTCGCTCGACGATGATTCTCGGCTGGGCGACTAGTTGCTATGATGATGACCGACTTCTTGGGTAAGTAAAGAAACAATCGGAGGCTAAGAGCAAGAGTAAGTGGAATCGCTCGTGTGATCGGATCAACTCCGGGCGGAAAATCACGAACACGGCTACGACGAAGATCTTGCGCGATGAATCTGCACCAAATGGCCGACCATCTCCGTCATACACAAGATTCAATTAGCCAATTGCTAATAATGGCATGAGTGGAAAGGAGGTCCAGCAGGGCTTAGTGACGGAAGATGAAAGCTGGATCTTCCATGGCAACAACAATAGGATCGCTGTCTGCCTTTCAAAAGGAGAAGGTTCGCTCACCCACATCTCCAGCTCATTCGAGCAATGTTTTGTTGCGGTGCTTCGGGGAGTTGGAGAGAATGATTTATTGTAAATCCTGTGTAAGTCGCCTAAGACGGTTTTGGGGCCTTTACAAGGCCCAATCTCAGCTGTTTTTCAACCCCACAGCATCCCATGCGCTATTCTTGAAAGCAATAAACTGTGCCTTTAAGGCCAGACAGTCACGGCTATAGAAATCGCCACTGCATCGAAGAAAAATGAGAAAGAAGAATTTCTATTCATGCCTTCTGCATTGTAGTTTCCTGCTTCATGTCCCGAAATTCGCGCAAATCAGAATAAAAGAAAGTAGAAAGAAAGAAAGAAAGAATACAGTTCACCACTCTTTTTATTCTCCTGACCACTTTTAAGCAGCGAATGGCCATAAGGAAAATTCGCCACTTTCGGTGACCTCAAAATTGCTATGGGAAGAGAAAGCCTGCTCGTCCATAATTTGGATAGATGTCAAATATATAATTCTGATTACACACTTAAGTGAGTGAGATTGTCAACAAGATTGTAGAACAATTTAAAACGTGCACCTGAGAGTACCTAGACTTCTGAATCACCTCATCCTAAAATGGCAGTCGCCGTTGCCACTCGAAGATTCCGAAACGAGAGAACGGCCTCTACGAGAATTTTCCGGTTTTCTTAGGTTTAGTCGAGCCCAACAAAAGGCATCACTGGGGCCCAAACTTATCATCATCATTACTGGTTTTGAAAACGGATGAATACCTGTAGGGATTCTCTTCCAGTCAGATCCAAAAGAAGTGCGTCAAATTGCGGACAATATCCGATACACTGAAAAGAATAGTTGAAACGAAATTATATTAGGTGTGTGCATTAATTTTCGCCGCCGAATTTGAAGGGTCGTTGCGTGAACAGTGTTAGAGGTTCACCGGTGAGTTCTCTCACATTCTGTAGGATAGGCTATTGGCTATCTACTTAAGGGCAGACAGATCAGTTTTCCCCAAAATCCCGTTGCTCTTGGACTGATTGGTCATGGAACGTGATGAACCGTTTTCCCGGGGACCCTTCTCCTGCTGTTTGATTCCAAAAAATCTGGCACTGATGCCCACCGGATGCTTTTCGATACTTATGGAGGACAAGCTCCATCTGAACAAACCTGCTGAGATGATTTCTCTTCACTGGAGAGCGCAACGAAAGCTTAATGTCCATTGACAAAAAGTAATGCTGTGTGTGCATTTGGTGGTGGGATCAAAAGTGTGTTGTGTACTATGAGCTGCTGAACCCGGATGAAACTGTTGCTGCTGACCACTAC